TATCTGTATTTATACACATCAGAAAGAATGATAAAAGTTATTGTATATAATTTTAGGAGCTCAATGTCCAACACCCACACCTCCTATGAATGGAAAGATTCTGAGCAACAAGAAGTTGTTCTACTATGAAGATGAAATAACTGTAGAGTGTGAACATGGTTACTACCCAGATCCTCAGAGGACTACATTGAAATGTGAGGTAGATCAAGGCTTTGGGAAGTGGTCAAAAGATATGACAAATTGTACAAGTAGGTTCATATGTTAAAGCTTTAAGTCAATTTAACACTGACTCTGCTTTTATAATTTACTCTGTTGAGATGTATAGCTCTTTTTTGAATGATTTGAAATTTGCATGAATTTTGAAATAAGAAAACTATAATTCTATTTTTGAAATTTTCAAAGCGATACTGTAAACCATTATGTTTATTTGTGACAACTTTTATCTGTGATTCATCAGTTTGAAATCTATCTTTGATGACTAATTTTTGTGGCTGAGGAAATATTCTACATTATTACAAATTGAAATAGATAGTTTGTGGCAAGAAATATTGGCGAGCAAAACCAATGTCATATGAAATAATTTTTTTTTTGCAGAGGGAACCTGTATGACACCTGATCTTAATGCAGATCCAAATTACAACAGAATCTTTCCAAATGAAAGTACAAGTGTGGAGTTTGGAACCCATGTTATTATTGAGTGCAAATATGGGACAAAATTTAGGAACTTGTCTTTGTATTGTGGAGAAAGTGGGACCTCAACATACCGTCTCCTTGGGGATAATTTGACATGTCCAGGTAGGAGCATTAAAAAAATGTATACTGGAGAGTTTGATAGAATAAACTATCAAGTCTTCTGTCTTCCCATTGTTAGCTCACCAGAGCTGAGAGCTTGTGTGAGCTTTTCTGATAACTCATTGTCCAGCATCCGTCCGTCTGTCTGTCCATCTGTAAACTTTTCATATTTTCAACTTCTCAAGAACCACTCAGCCAATTTTAACCTAAGTTGGTACAAAGCATCCCTGGATTCTAAAATGTTAAAATGAAGAGCAAAGCCCACTTGCAATGGGAGATAATCAAGAAAAAGCGAAAGTAAGGTTGGGTCATTAAAAAAACTTTTTCTCAAGAACCACTGAGCCAGAAAAGCTGAAACATATCTGGAAGATTCCTGAGGTAGTGTAGATTCTAAATTGTTTATATCATGGCCCCAGGGTTAGGGTGGGACCACAAAAGGGAATTAAAGTTTTACATTCAAATATATAAAAAAAATCTTTAAAAATCTTCACAAGAACCATTGGACAAGAAAAGCTGAAACTTATGTGAAAGCTCCTGAGGTAGTGAAGATTCTAAATTGTTCAATATATGGCCCGTGGGATTAGGGTAGGGCCACAATAGGGAAAAAAGTCTTCTTCTCAAGAACCACTGGGCCAGAAAAACTGAAACTGGGAAGCTTTCTTGGGTAGTGTAGATTGTAAATTGTTCTGATTATGGTACCCGGAGGGTATGGATGGGGCCACAATAGGAATTACATAGTGAAAAAGAACAGCAGAGCTATGATGAATCATATTAATGTGGAAACATCTTCTGTTAGTGTTGATTCATTTTTAGCTCTTCTGAGCCAAAGGCTCAAAGAGCTAATGCTATGGCCATTTGTGCGGTGTGCGTAAACTTTTTAGAATAAGGGCCATAACTCAAGAACCCCTTGGCCAATTATTGTCAAATTTGTAACAGGGTATCCTTGGCCCAAGGGCTCCCTTTTTTACTAAAACTAGGGTTGTGACCCTATAACAAGGGGAGATAATTAGGAAAATAGAAACAAAAGTACTGGTTGCTAAAAAATCTTCTTCTCCAGAACCACCAGGCAGATTATCACCAAACTTACACAAAAGGATGAGGATATGTTGTAGATTAAAAATTGTTCAAGGCATCACCCTGGGGCAAAGGGCGTGGTCTCAAGGTCACTTCAAAGTTGACCAAAAATTACATTTTATTAAAATGTTGATATTTTGCTTACAATAAGAACTAGGATCATCAAATCTTGTCAGTTGATGCATCTAAGGACCTCATATCATGTTGACTTAAAAGTAGGTCACGGTGACCTACTTTTAAAATTTTGCGGCCATTCTTTTTCAAAATGATTTAGAGGCATATTTTGAACAATTTAAGGCCTATGATCATTAAACTTTGTCAGTTGATGTATCTTGGGTCCTCGAAGTACGTCAACTAAAAAGTAGGTCACCTTGACCTACTTTTTGAATTTTATGGCTAATCTTTTGCAAAACAATTAAGGTCAGTAATTCGAATACCGAGAGGTTTAAAATCATGAAATCTTGCAAGATGATGCATCTTGGGGCCATAAAACATGTGTATTAAAAAGTAGTTCACAGTGACCTACTTTTTGAACTTTGCAGGCATTCGATTTCAAAGCATTTCAGAGGCATAATTTGGACATTTTAAGGCCTATGATCATAAAACTTCGTAAGTTGATGCATCTTGGGTCATCGCAGTAGGTCGACTGAAAATTAGGTCACTGTGTAAATTTCAATTTATATGGCTATTAAGGGTGCAACGATAAACCGTTTGACAGTATATCGCGGTATATTTTTCCATAGTTCAATTCACGATACGCTAAACTGATATCGCGGTTCGGTTCCATCGATCCAGAATTATCCGAATCGTCCGTTTTGTTTCCTTAATAACAATTTCAAAATTGCTTCCGCGCAAAACGTGAGGTCGCCGATAACGCATTAATGGAAGTTAAACTCATCTCCAGCATCTTACAGACCTCAGATTTAACACTGAGAAGGACTTAATGTGATTATATGTTATAGATGTTAAGACAAATGTTAAACCCTTTAGATCTAAACGTTTCTTTGGTAATACACGATATTTCATCACGTGTGTATTTCGATGAGAATTCACTGTCTTGTTGACTAAAACATGTTAACACGAGAAATATGACAACTGGTTTTCTACGTAAATAAAAGGAATAAAAGAATGAATGTCTTCCTTTTTCATTCCAATTTAAAAGGAAGATTATTAGGAAAGGTCCCCTTAGTTCCCTGTAAATGTTCATCATTGGTTTAGAATATTGTCAAAACTCAAAGATGTACCCAATAATCCAATTCAAGTTAACAAAATTTTATTTTAATTATTATCAAAAAATATGAACATTTTATATAACCCTGTCAAGTTAAAGAAAAAATATGGTGACAAACTTGAAAGACTTTTTAACCTTGTCATGTATCGTGATACGTATCGTATTGTGAACTGAATACCGTGATACGTATCGTATCGTGAGGTTAGTGTATCGTTGCACCCCTAATGGCTATAATTAAATATTTCAGGTACTAATTGGCTTAGAATCATCAAACTTTGTCAGTTGATGCATCTTGGGTCTTCGGAGTAGGTCGACTGAAAAGTAGGTCACTGTGACCTACTTTTGAAAATTTATGGCTTTAATTAAATATTTCAGGTACTAATTGGCTTAGAATCATCAAACTTTGTCAGTTGATGCATCTTGGGTCCGCGGACTACAACAACTGAAAAGTAGGTCACCATGACCTACTTTCAAAAATTTGTGGCTTTAATTAAATATTTTAGGTACTAATTGGCTTAGAATCATCAAACTTTGTCAGTTGATGCATCTTGGGTCCTCGAAGTACAACAACTGAAAAATAGGTCACCGTGACCTACTTTTGAAAATTTATGGCTTTAATTAAATATTTCAAGTAATTATTGGCTTAGAATCATCAAACTTTGTCAGTTGATGCATCTTGGGTCCTTGGAGTACGACAACTGAAAAGTAGGTCACGATGACCTACTTTTGAAATTTTATGGTTATAATTTTAAAAAATATTTTAGGTGTTAATTGGCTTAGAATCATCAAACTTAGTTGATGGGTCCTCAGAGAATGACAAGTGATAAGTAGGTCACCTGACCAACTCTCAGGTACTGGTTGGCTTAGAATCATCTTGGGTTCTCAGAGCGTGAATTGGAATTTCAAGGGTTTATGTAAATATACAGGATACTTAGAGACTTCAAATAGAAGTGATAGGTTGTACAGTTTATCAGAAGAGCGATTCAAGGCCCTTGGGCCTCTTGTTGCACAAATCATGACCCCTGTGTGTAGGTTGGTGTCACAAAATATGATCAAAATTTTGCATAGGAATACATTTATATTGGGGGGGAAATCTGATGCAGAACAACTGGGACAAAGTGACTTAGGTGAGCATTGTGGCCAATGGGTCTTTTGTTTGTTTAGCTGTCTTTCTGTCATTTGATGACCTTCAAATTTTTTACATCTTGTAACTTAGTAACTTAGGTGAGCGTTGTGGCCAATGGGTCTTTTGTTTGTTTAGCTGTCTTTCTGTCATTTGATGATCTCCAAATTTTTTACTTCTACTCCAGAACCACTTAGCCAATTTCAAACAAACTTGGCACAAAACATGTTTTGGTAGTTTGGATGCAAGGAAATGAAGGGCAATACCCCATTTAAAGGGGAGGTAAATTAAAAAAAATTAAAATTTGGGTTGTGGTCATTTAAAACTTCAATAACCACTGAATCAGAAAAAATGAATATTGAATATAGATTTAAGCTTGTTCAAATCTGCCTCCAGGGGCAAGTTTAGGGACATATAAGAGTGCACAAGTATTATTTAAAGTTTGATATTTTTAATATACAGGAAGGAAGAAAATTGTCTACAGTTTCTTTATTAATTCATAAATACCTCTGTGTCAAAAAAGAAAACAAGTTTGAGTTAAAACAGCCCCCCCCCCCCCCCCCCCCCCCCCCCCCGGCTAGGGAGAGTTCAAAGAGTATGAGAGGCAGACTTTCACATTGAAATATGTATGAAAAAATCTTTAAAATTCTGACTGCAGTTGATTACACGAAATTGTCAAAATCTTGAAAGCCAGTTTCTGTATCATTTATCATACTCCTGTGGTAAAAAGAAAACTTGCACATAGAAATAAATGTAAAATAATTTATCATTTCTTTTCAGTAATTGATTGTGGGATGCCAGAGCAAGTCCCAGGTGCTGATCAATATAGCTACCCTGATACACTTTTTGGCAGTTCATTTAACTTTAGCTGTCAGACTGGCTCAACCCTCAGTGGAAAATCCGTAGATGGGGACTACACAGTCAGATGTCAAGAGAACAGACAGTGGGGTTTTGGGAATCTTACTTGTACAGGTAAGTGAATATGTGTAACACTGTGATTATTTTTGTTTTGAGTTTGATAAAAACAGTATTTTTAGCTAAAATGATCATGACAAATGAACAAATTATTCTAAAATTTCTCTGTCATTTAAGTCACAAAATCAAATGGAAGTGAGCTCAGAAATTTATTCATCCAATTTTTGCATCCCCCCCCCCCCAAAAAAGTTATATATTGAAAATAAAAAAAGTTATGGGAATAATGCTTTAGATCTGTTGTATAATTCCTCTCAACTCGAGACTTTTATACAATTCATTTTGACAAAGTTCAAGTGTATACAGTGCAGCTTCTCTCTATGTGAGGATATGCATTAAATGTCAGAATTTTTAGACAGTAAATTATCTGATATATATACTGTGGATCACTGAATTTTTATGACACCTTATTTTTGTGAGATATGAATCTGGTACAGTACAATTTGTTTTTTATCATACCGGTTTTATATCATACTTCTTTTTTTATCATAGTTTTTTAAAACACAAAACCATTTCTTAATAATTCAATGTAAATTCCTCCTCTTATTAACATAAGTAAAAGTGTACACTCCGCTTTTTCGTATGTAATATTTTTAGCTCACCTGAGCCGAAGGCTCAAGTGAGCTTTTCTGATCACTTTTTTTCCGGCGTCCGTCTGTCTGTTCGTCTGTCTGTCTGTAAACTTTTCACATTTTCGACTTCTTCTCAAGAACCACTGGGCCAATTTCAACCAAACTTGCCACAAAGTATCCTTGGGTGAAGGGGATTCAAGTTTATCAAATGAAGGGCCATGCCCTCTTTTAAGGGGAGATAATCAAGAATGAGTGAAAAATTAATAGCTTCTTCTAAAAATCTTCTTCTCAAGAACCACAGGGCCATAAAAAGATGAAACTCATGTGCAATCATTTTCAGGTAGTGTAGATTCAAGTTTGTTTAAATCATGACCCCGGGGGTAGGGCAGGGCCACAATGGAGGATGAAAGTTTTACATAGAAATGTAAAGGAAAAATCTTAAAAATCTTCTTCTCAAGAACAGCAAAGCCATGATGAGTCATATTTATATGGAAGCATCCTCAGGTAGTGTAGATTCAAGTTTGTTCAAATCATGACCCCCGGGGGTAGGGCAGGCCCAATGGGGGATCGAAAGTTTTGCATAAGAACATATAGAAAAACTAGTTCTTCTGAAGAACAGAAAAGCTATGTTTAGTCATATTGATACGGAAGCATCCTCAGGTAGTGTAGATTCAGGTTTGTTCAAATGATGATTCCTGGGATAGGAAGGAGCCACAAGGGGGGATCAAATTTTTACAAAGGAATATATGGGAAAATTTTTAAAAAATCTTCTAAAGTACAACAAAGCCATTTGTTATATTGACATGGAAGCAGCATTAAAATTCAAGCCCCTTTCTTGCTGTACTATTTCTAGACAGCAAGTCTATTTCTTGCTGTACACAAGTTCAGCGTGCAGTTACAGTTTCTATTTAAAACCATACGCATATGTATTTTTCTTCAATTTGTACATTGATAATAAACGCAGTGAAACGTATTTTACAAAATGTTCGAAATGAACCTATACAAACGTATGTCTATTAACTCGGTCCTCTGATTGCTTGGTTTCTGAACTATTCTTCATGTTTGTCTACAGTCATAAATTGAGAGATTAATTAAGAAGTTGTGAAGTCAATTTGATTCTTACAAGCGGCTTTGAATTTTTATCAGTGTCAATTTTTTTTTTATTACGTGGCAACATGGAGTGTAAATCGTGGCAATCCACTTGGTGCAAAAGCTATAATTACGATATTTCTTTGAAGTTTTCCGTAATTCTGTTTTTTTTCCATCTCTGTGTTAATTCTCTCATTTTGATTGTATTAAATGTTTTTGGTATTATTTTATTTGAAAGCGACGTAATAAAACGAAATGTCGGTTGTATGAATTGATCAGAGTTAAAAAGAAAGTAGAAAGATGAATGCTATAGATGATATAAAACTTTGAATTTGAATAGTATTTAACGATATTTAAGTGAATTTTTTGATTTATTAATTGAAAAATGTCTTGAAACAGTAAGTAAATATGATGAAAGTTAATTATCTTGTCATTTAAAGAAGCCTGAAAAGCAAGAACGAAATTAACATACGATGTGAAAAAGAACACAGGCATACGTGGTGAGTTTTGGCCTGACAAATAAACTATAATAAACGAATTGTACTGTATCTATGAGTAAGATAGAATTTTCACAAATTCTGGTCATTGTTGTATTTAATCCTTAACACTATAAATATATACAAGAAAGGAGTTTATGCAAGCAGTTGTTCTCACTTAATTACACGAAAATAAAGTTCTTGTGAATAAAAAGTGTACAGTAAAACTTGTCTCACCTGGATGTAGAGTATTCTGAAATCTTGCCTATTATGATGAAAACTTTTAGTCCTTTCCTGTAAATTCAGTTAAAATGTTCAGTAATCTGGAATGTCTAATTTGGTCAATTTCACTGGAACCAGTGGTCTCCAGATAAGACAAATTTCACTGAAAGGTCTGCTATAGTTTATCAAGTTTTAGTTGCAATGTTTTTATTTTTATGAATGTTTAGTAGGGTTAATGGTACTTTAGTTGCATAAATGCAAATTCATTTTCTCTTGTTCCTGACCATTAAATCTCAGGTATTTTGTATCTGCTTTATGTTATATTTTCTTGAATTTCTTATCTTTGTTGCATTGATGCCTTACCTAAAGCTTTTTTACTTCCAGTAAAGGAGAGGATATTATAATATAGCAGATACTGTGTTTTGCCCATCCACTTCAATTGATATGCTACTGATCCTGTTTAAATAGTGTCATTGGAAGACAATGATGTTACAAGCTGCATGCTTGTAAATGATGAATTGATATGTAAATATAAAACTAAATTGATAGTCAAGTCTTACCCAAGAGAGTATGTTAATAGGTGGACGCTGCACAGATCCGGGTACACCAGGGGGAGCTGTGCAGGTAGTGAGGAGTTATGAGGCTGGGGAACTCCTCAGGTTTAATTGTACACGACAAGGATATGAACCAGTTCCTTCTACGCCTCTTCTGTGTGTAGAGCAGGGAACCAAAAATGCCAGTTGGAATTCAACTGACTTGCCTCTGTGCACAGGTGAGGGTATTTACTATTCAATGTTAAACATATTTCCTGTACAGTATTTTATTATATTTACATTTGCCGTGTTTTTCTAATTAGCCAACTGTGAAATTGATTTGAAAACCATTTTTGTGTATACTCACGCATAGAAATATACACGGAGAAACTCGAGCTAAAGTGACGTCACAATGAGGCTACAGAGATGTTAATAAAAATATGATGATATACGGCAGCGAGAAATTCAAACATTCAGTATATTTTTGGTGCATTTAAGCATGTAAAATGTAAATATAAGGAATGTTTTAAAGTTTTGTGTGAATTATTGGTGTGTGAATCACACAGACTTGCACGTAGGCATATTTTTCATGAAGTGCTAGCGCACTTCATGAAATATGCCTACGTGACAAGTCTGTGTGATTTATGATTTACACACCAATAACTCACACTAAACTTAAAAACATTCCTTAAATATTTTCTGCTACAGTACTGCTAGAGAAGGCAGTGTCCTTCATATTGATAATCACAAGTGATTTTTCAAAATTTTATTATTTTGTCCAAATTCTACTGTTATAATCAGTTCTTTGCCTAGAAAAAAGTTGCACATTTGCAAGTTGTCAAAGATAAGGTAAAAAAAAAGTTTGCATTTGACATTGAATTTTTGCGACTCAAACATCAAATCACAAATGAAGATGTAAATTTTATATATAGCATATTCCGAAGAAATTAATATCAAATGATGAAGTCTACTGAATTCAACATGTTCAAAGGAAAGTAACAAGTTTTTCTCTTTCTTTTAACTCCATAATGTCTTTTGAAAAATATTCAGTGGGAGGTATAATGAACAGGGATGCATTCAAGATCTTTGCATCTAACCTAGCTGCTAGGTTAGATATTTAGGTTATATTGGAATGCATTGTATTAATTAACTCTGTTACATTGGCTAGGCTAGAATATTTATCAAGATTGTAGCAGATACATTGAATTACCTAGCTGCTATGATCTTGAACTCAGCTTAGGCAACATCATGTTCAATTTGGAGGCTAAGATGAGTTTAGTGACTTGTGGACCTCTTTTTTTTCCAGATGTTACTCCTCCAGAGTTCAGGAACTGTCCTAATACAATATACATTGACAAAATGGAGCCTGTAAGCTTTGTTACCCCCTCTGCCACTGATAATTCTGGACTGGTGAAGAATGTGACTGTTGTTCCTCCCAATTTCAAAAGTGGTACAGTGGTGTCCAGTGATTTAAATGTCACCTACACAGCAGTAGATAATGGTGGGAATACTGCAAGCTGTACAATCTCATTCATCATTAAAGGTATAGCCAATGTACATGAATAAGCAGCATATAAAAGTTATGTTAAAAAAATAGATACTTTAAATTAGGAGACCACTCCCTGTAAAGCAGAAGCTTGATTGAGGTGTTTTCTGTTTAAAAATTATGATGCATATCACATTAAAATTAATGTAAACAATGTCTGCAGAAATGTTAGAAGAAATGGGGGGTGGGGGGGGGGGGTGGTGTTGACAATGAATGAGGTAATTTTAACTCATCTGAGCGTTCATTGAGCTTTTCTGATTGAAATTTGACCATTGTCTGTCGTCATCTTTAACTTTTCACATTTTAATCTTCTTCCCAAGAACCACTGGGCCAATTTCAACCAAACTTGCCACAAAGTATCCTTGGGTAAAGTGGATTCAACTTTGTTCAAATGAAGGGCCATGCCTTCTTCCAAGGGGAGATAATCATGAATTCATGAAAAATTAATGGCATCTTTTAAAAATCTTCTTCTCAAGAACCACTGTGCTTGAAAATATGAAACTTATGTGAAATCATTGTGAGGTAGTGTAGATTCAAATTTGTTCAAATCATGAGCCCCGGAGGTAGGGTGGGCGATATAAGTTTTACATAGGAATACATAGGAAAAATCTTTTAAAAAATCTTCTTCTCAAGAACAGCAAAGCCATGATTAGTCATATTTATATAGAAGCATCCTCAGGTAGTGTAGAATTATGTTTGTTCAAATCATGACCCCCTGGGGGTAAGGTGGGGCCAAAATTAGTGATCAAAGTTTTACATAGGAATACATATGAAAAATCTTTAAAATTCTTCTCAAGAACAGCAAAGCCATAATTGGTCATAATAATATTTAAGCATCCTCAGGTAATGTAGATTCAATTTTTTTCAAATCATGACCCCCAGGAGAATAGAGGGGTCATAACAAGTGATCATAGTTATACAAAGGAATGTGAAGGATATTTCGATAAAAATTTTCTTCTTCTTAAGAACAGCAAAGCCATTATGTTTCACATTTATTCAAAAGCATCCTTAGGAAGTGTAGACTCAAACTTGTTCAAATCATACCCCCACTCCCCCCAAACCACTTTTATATTTAAACTTTTCAATACTGAACTGATTTCTGCTTTTTCCTACCCAAAGTGCACAGGTGAGCAATGTGGCCCCTGGACCTCTTGTTAGGGATTTATCAGTACCTTCTTATTTGGTCCTATTCCCAAAGGAAAATAAGCTCAATTTTTTCCAAATACAAATTGAAATAATGATTTCTTTTTTTTAAAATTTTTTAAATGGTGTAGTCCAAAGGCAGCTGAAGCAAAATACACTACGGTCAACGCGGATCCCGTATTTTCCCGCGCCCCCGCGATGGTGTTTTAATCCTTTCCGCGATACACCATCGCGGTTTTATCATCGCGGTGATCGCGGGGACACGAGATTACCGTGACGGTGTGCTCTACCGTATTCTACCGTATTTTACTCAATGTGAAGTCGATAATCCTTCATGTCAAAGTAAGGATATTAAATTGTGAATATATAAGATATTTTTTTTTTAAAATGTGGCTTAAACATGTTAAAGTCATAGATGGCATATTTTTGATAAGTTCAGGCTTACTAAAATTAAAAAGGTCTTTCTATTTGTTTTATTACCTTATATAAAGATAGGAGTTTTCTGTAAATTACACAATTTAAATCAATCGCGTTTTATAGATATTAGAAATTCAAAACAATAACTGATTTATTTTATACCCACTCTGCATTTAAATATCAGACACAGTTTAAAGTCAATCTAACTATAGAAACGTGGGGTTATTCAAATTCAAAATCGGCGAAAATTTTGATTTGAATGTAAATAACAAATATCATTATATATGATATAGTTTGCGATGTATTTCAAGTTTTACGAAGCAGATTCCTAAGCAATATGAATGCAAATTTTGCATGTCCAGGTATACAATACAGGTAAAACACAACTTTAAGAAATCTAATCTATTGTTGTGCAGACATATGTATATATCTATTACATAACACTTCCTGTCTGTGTCAGTGCCAAGGTTCTGACTGTGCGTACTACAAACTCGAACCTAGCCCGGGGACACATAGAACCTTCTATTCCAATTGTATTTTATCAGTGTAAAGTAAATTAAATTTCAAAATCGAATGTTGCATATTTGCACATGCTGTAACATCCTCTGAGCTATTAATAACGTTTTTTGCCTGTAATTGAAGGTAAATAAATTTAAAAAAACAAAAAACAATGTAAATTCAGGAAGGGAACAATAAATGAACACACAATATATATATCTAGTTGTCTCCATATCACGCATTCTTTCCTTCCTTTTCTTTTCTTTTTTTTTTTTTTCATTTTTGAAAGAGGTGAAATAAGTAAAAAGATAAATTAATCAAATATAAAAAGGGAGACCTAAATAACTGCTAAGACTGGTTTTATCCTTTTCATTTTTTTTGTTTTTTTTGTTTTTTTACTTCTATTCATTCTTGTTCTGTTGTGTTTTTTTCCGTCGGGGGAGGTAACTCGCATTCATGAAGAGAATAATTTTTTACCTGAGACGGATAACACAAACCGCGATGGTGTGGATTAGTTGAGGACCCGTACCGCGAGAAGACGCGGTTTTACCTGAGTTACCTGTGTTAAACCGCGATCAATTTCACACCACGAGGACTCGCGGTAAATACGGAAACCGCGTTGACTGTAGTGTAGTTGCCATGATAGTTAAAACTTTTCCAGCTTTTCAAGGTAGAGAGAAGGTTTGATGTAATTTTTCATTCAATTTTATAAAACCATCTTAAATATCATCTGCATTAACTAGAAAGAAAGAAATGTAATAGTTATTCCCTTTAAAACCATTTTAACAGCAGTAAATTTCAAAATCTCGGCATGATCGTATCTCCAAAAAAAAAAAAATAATAATAAGTGATGCAGCAGATCTAGTAAACATGGCAGTCAATGTTTTTGGCTTAGTTTTTCATTGGATACTGAGAAAAAGTAAAATAGAATTTCATGTCATTTTTTAAAAACACATATACAAAAAACGATTATTTGTTCAGGAACTGTAAGCATTATGGTTGTAAAGATTGCTGCATGATTTCAATATATGTATATTTATAGTGAGAGACTTTATTTTGATTTTACCTTCATTCATTTTGCAAATAACACTGTTTGTTTTGCATTTAGAAGTTCTTAGAACCATTTGTTGTCTTATAAAGGTTCATCTTCTTTATATATTGTTCATTCTTCAAAGATAACTCTGTGTTTTGCATTAATTTCCTTAGTTTGTTATGTACCGGAGTGTTAAATTTGCTTTTATTAGCTCACCTGAGCTGAAAGCTCAAGTGAGCTTTTCTGATCACATTTTGTCTGTAGTCCGTCTGTCCGTCTGTCTGTCGGTAAACTTTTCACATTTTCAACTTCTTCTCCAAAACCACTGGGCCAATTTCAACCAAACATGCCACAAAGCATCCTTGGGTGAAGGGGATTCAAATTTGTTCAAATGAAGGGCCACGCCCTCTTTCAAGGGGAGATAATAAAGAATTAGTGAAACATTAATAGCATCTTTTAAAAATCTTCTTCTCAAGAACCACAAGGCCAAGAAAGATGAAACTCAAGTGGAAGCATCCTCAGGTAGTGTAGATTCAAATTGTTGAAATCATGACCCACGGGGGTAGGATGGGGCCACAGTGAGTGATCAAAATTTTACATAAAAATATATAGGAAAAACCTTTAAAAATCTTCTGAGGAAGAACTGCAAAGCCATGATGAGTCATATTTATATGGAAGCATCCTCAGATAGTGTAGATTCAAGTTTGTTCAAATCATTACCCCTGGGGGTAGGGTGGGGCCACAATGGAGGATCAAAGTTTTACATAGAAATATATATGAAAAATTTTAAAAATCAGTCTTAAATAGAAATATATAGGAAAATATTTTCTTCTGAAGAACTGCAAAGCCATGATTAGTCATTTTGATATGGAAGCGTCCTCAGGTAGTGTAGATTCAAATATGTTAAAATGATGACCCCCGGGGATAGGGTGGGGCCACAATGGGGGATCGAAAATTTTACATAAGAACATATAGGAAAATATCTTCTTCTCAAGAACTGAAAATCATGTTTAGTCATTTTGATATAGAAGCATCCTCAGATAGTGTGAATTCAATTTCGTTCAAATGATGACCCCCAGGGGGTAGGATGGGGCCCAATGAGGGATCAAATTTTTACAAAGGAATATATGGGGAAATTTTTTAAAAATTTTCCCGAGTACAACAAAGCCATTTGTTATATTGACATGGAAGCATCATCAGGTAGTTTAAAATTCAATACTGAACTGATTTGTGCTTTTGCCTAGCCAATGTGCTCAGGTGAGTGATGTGGCCCATGGGCCTCTTGTGTTTATATATTTTGCAAAGTCTATTGATTATGCATATAATGTCATTTATTATTAAGTTTTTATGGTACTTGAAAAAAAATAATTGTTTGTTTTCTTTTATATGGTATTTTTTGCAAATTTCCACTGCACCATTACACATGCCAATAATAACACTGCACACTGCCTTAGCACCTACTTATCAGCTCTTCGTGAAATGGACATAGAGTCACTGGTGCTAATCCAATTATGCAGCTAACGTGCATCTTAAAAATTCACACCTGATTGTCTTGAGAATCAATTATTTAGTTGGAGATTCACTGTCTGGATTATTTAGAAAATTTACACTGAAAATTTAATGTTTGGTCGGAATCCAGAACACAGAATTCCAGAGTAGTGATAAAAATTGACACTTGAAAATTTTTTCCTTTTAAAATTTTTTCAGAAGGTAAACGGTCTGGGTTATTGGAGTCCAGATTACCAACACATGAAGAACCAGGGCGTTTTTGATTGGCATTTGGCAGGAATCTTGGTGCACTTGAAAAGCAAAAATTTCATTGATCTGTCCCATGAAATTTTAGCATTCTTTTGATGTATTCAGTTTCTGTGAAATAGGAAAGGGAAATATTGCCCGATGTTGTATTTTGATTTGCTAAAAAAGAACTTGAAAATTGGCTAGATGAGTCATTTGGTACAAAATGTTACATTTTTATACACATTTTTCTAAAAATTTGCTATCTCTGGATCATCTCTCCATGATTTTGAAACGTTATTTATGTGCATTGTAATTCAAAGAAACTTACAAACATTTGTAAAAAATGGAGAGAAGACTCAGAGACGATAAAAAATGAACTTTTTCCAAAAAAATTCCAATGTGTAAATGCGGTGCTTCTTTGTCATTTTAAAAACCATATAGTATGTGAAATGGTCATAGCTCAGTAGTATGAGTTACCCTTCCAGTGCAATGAAAAAGAAACATTTTTGTTTCTATCCTCACATGGAGCGTAATATTTTTTTAGTACAAACAATTTATTCTTTTTCAGTTTAATTTCATTTACTGATTTGTTTTAAAACGGATAAATTCTGGTTCTGTTGCTTCGAAAGCACAATGTCATGTACTTGTAATTGCAATTAACTATACCCAAAAGGTGTTTATAATTTATGAATGTAGTAATTATTAAGATAAGGGGACTGATATATTAAATTTGACACAAAGTTTTTCAAACTAAATGTAACATTTTCCCAAAGTATGTCCAGCTGTGGTCAGCCGACCAAATCATAGACATTTAAACTGTAAATGTTTTGTATGCCTTATTCCTGCAGATCACATGCCAAACACAACCATCTTCTCTGATATACAGTGTATCTTATCTTCCTTTTACTATACTTTAAGGAATCACAGCTGCATAAATATGATAATGAATATTGTAGAGTCTCAATAAAATGTAAATTTTATTGTCTCACAAGTCCAGAACTCCAGTTCTAGAAGGGACCAAACTCATTTTAGCCTTAGAAACTCATGATACTCAGGTGACTGTCAAGGCCCTTGGGCCTGATGTTCACATAAAAAATGGTCATTAATTAAATTGTACATACTTTTAATAGAAGTTTTTGAAATTTTGGTCTGTTTAGAAAACTAATTATTAGAAATTTATTTTGATTTATTTTATTTCAGATCGCAAAAAGCCCGGCTTGATATGTTCTGATATAGGCATAGTTTCAATAAACACCACAGAGGGTACCAGAGTTGATTTACAAACATATTTTAGTGATCCAAAATCTAGTGAAAATATAACATTTAGCCCAGAACGAGACATTACTGTAAACACCAAAACGCTTAGTAAACCTCAACAAGTCAATGCAACATTACAGAACATGTGGGGGACTGAGGAAACATGTACATTACTAATATACACTAAAGGTAAAGTATAAACTTTTGCATGAGGTAAATATCTAAACTTTTTCTTTGGTAATTCTTATACGATTATAGGCTCAAATTTATCTATGGCCTTTTTAGCTCACCTGAGCCGAAGGCATTTTCATCTTCTTCTCAAAAACCCTTTTTTAGTGACACGGGGGTTTGATGTTCAGATTAGAAATATGATTGTTTAAAATAGATGTAATAGAAAATAAATTTCAAGTTTTAAGGATTTGAACATATATACATGTGGTAGTCAGTTTTTACTGCAGGTTTAGTAAAACTCTAGCTTGATAGAAAAGGCGTTAAAGTGGCAGATAAAGAAATTGTTCAGTGTGAATAAATACTGTAATAGATTATACAAGTTATTTTTTACCCAAGAAACATGCAATTTTAAAGATGGTAGATGGTTATATTATGACCCTGATCTGAAATGCACTTTTAGTAGAATATCGTATACTTGTTTCTTATTGTTTTCCAGCTGACGTTTGTTTCACTGAGAGCTTATCACCTGCTCTCCATGCTACAAAAGTTTGTCCTGATTCAAATGGAAAAAGAACATGCACTTACACCTGTGAAAGTGGATATCTTTATTTTGATGGATCCAGTTCAAAAAACTACACATGTTCAGGAATGAATAAATGGTCGCCTTCCATGTATCCAGAAAGTTGTCTTTGTAAGTAATATATTTCATTGTGTTACAGTGGACCTTTTCACAAAAAATCTTATGACATATTTTTATCTTAAGTGAAAACTTATGATAAATTCTTTTTCACAAAAATTCTTAAGAAATTCGTAAGTGCAAAATCTGTCGTAACTTTACGAGAGCCCCAACACTCTCTTAAGTATTTTAAAACCGATTTTATTGTAAAAATATAACCGCAAAAACCAAAATACACGTTAAATTGAACGTTGTAAAGCAACTTACAATAATATTCTATATTTTTTTCACAATCATTGTCGAAAAATTAAATGAAATACACTACAAAATATTTACGATGTAAGTTTCACTTAAGATTTTCGTATGACCTACTTTTACGTCAGACTTGTGATTGTGACGTCAGATTTTAAACTTCCTTGCTTTACAAATGATTGCATTCGATATTTGTTGTTAATAATGTTGTTATGCTGACAATTGTTGAAAACTTAGTTTTATTTTTATTTTCACCCACTTACTTAAGGATTATAAAGCATATTGAAGTCGTTGCTAGGGTTGAAGTCTGTCGTAAATTAAATCTTAAGTTCAATTTGCTACGAATGCGTTCGTGAAACGCACTTAAAATTTGTCGTAAGAGATTCTTAAGTTAAAATCTTACACAAAAACCTAAGATTTTTTGTGAAAAGGGCTACAGATTTTCCCCTTACCAAAACAACCCACAAAGATTGGATCACCCCAATTTATGCCCTATAAATATTTAAATCTGTATGTCGTAATTTTATATGAAGATATCATAGGAATATCACCAACTATAATATATGCTTTATGTTTCATCTTAGATGTTTATTTCATGAATATCATCTGATTGTATTGTAAAAACCCAAATTTCCTCCATAGATCAGTCCTCTCGTAATAACAAAAGGCCATCTGGCTATGTTATTCGACTGACATACCCAAAATTAACTTGGCATCATCTCCAAACCAATTACAAAACAACCACTCATCCCTGTTCCTGCCTTTATAATGCTAAAGCTATTACTTGGTTCAAAAGTTGTAACTACACAAACATCGCACGAATACTAGTGGTACCGCTTGTTATTTGCGCCTGAAGTAATTCGCACTGATGTAAGAAAGGTATATATAAAGGCGTTATTTTAAACGTCCTATTTAGTTTGGGACGTTGGTCAGTTCTATTAACACCATGACTGAAACTCTCCATCACATAGTTGATATTCCCAACTCATTCATTAAGAATCTGATGTCACCTTTATGTTTCCATTGGGTAAATTGATCAATGGATGCATGATCCAATCAGCTGATTATTGTTATTTATATGTCCTGACCCATTTACCCCATAATTATTTCTTGTGATTGTATTTACTAATCATGAATTATTTTATTGTTTTAATAAATTCATTTTTTTAAAGTTAAACAAATCTATGTAATTAATTAATGTAAATCTCTGGAATAAAGAGGACCCACAAAATTTTTGTAACACCCAACATCGGGTAACAATTGCACATTTTTTAAGGGTATAACGAGAATTTGTCAATACAATTAGTATCTTACAGATGGATATATGTATGTGCCAATACTCAATATTATACAGCTGTTTTTGAGGTCAATACAATGATACCTACAAGAGGAGTACAATATACTCTATAAATAAGTACAATATATTTGTTATGTTATTCATTGATTAAAACTTGTGATAAAGCAAACCTTGACATATAGGGCTGTCACGGTTCCAAAATTTTTTGGGTCGGGTCGGTTCTGTAAATTTTTGGTTCAATTTCAAGTTTTTCGGTTCGGTTATTTACATCTATTTTAAACCTTAATTTCATGAATTTAACTTGAAAAATCTTTATTTGTTACGTTAAAATTCACCTTAAAAAAGTCTTGACCATGTTAAGTCTTGACATCGATGTTTAGGACTACTAGGTTGACTATTAGCTAAAACCTGACCATTCTTCCTGTTTAGATAATTATCTAATCCTTTCGTGACAAGTGTTTGGTCATGGTATGAAGTAGATATCAGTTGTGATGTTTATTTATCACTGTTATCATCGTCATTCTTTTGATTTCGGTGCCATTTTTGTATTAAACAGATTCTGATATACAGTGCGGTATCGTTATTATGGTGACAGTTTTATAAGATAGAACGCTTATTACATTGTGAATTCTAAGCACAAAACCATTTCTTAACAAATCTATACAAAATAGGACTGTTTATTACGATGTCCTAAAATGCTGGGACTCAGTATTACGATGTAAAATTTCTGTCCAATAAATTTTTCACTCCGTGTTTATTCAGTGCTGATCGACGATAGACACTTAAGGAGACGCTAAATAAACATTGAAACACCTGTGCTCTGACAGAGTGTTAACCTACAGACCTGTTAGGTGATTAGTGACGCTTGACTGCACACATCTTGACTGTTCTAGCGAGGTCAGCAGAACTGGATACATCATGTCAAAGCCATTGTTAAACAATTAAACTGTTTATTTATAAATGTAGTCTCTAGTTTATCTATCTCTGAAAGGTTTATTTTATCTTTTATACTTTGGTTAATAAATAAAATTAATTTATTAAATATAAGGTTACATTTAATCTTGTGCATGTATGTTAAACATGTATTGTGTAATTTTTTTTGCAATTAAACTGCAGTAATGGATAGCTTGGGTATCAAACATAATTTGGGCCAAATTTGAACTTCACTTATTTTTAACAGCTTGGATTGTGGCTTGGACTACCTCACAAGTGTCAGCAGAAATTCAAATCGATAATTGCTGAATTGCTAATTGAACTGTTCAGTGATTTAAAAATCAAATTTATTTTGACATATAGCTTGTGTGTTGTCAAATTCCATCCATAAATATGCCAGTCACACTGCCCTCTTTCACCAGTTGTTCACTGCTGCTCTAAGCTCACTGAACACCCAAAAGCTCACTAAAAATTGTTGTTGTTATGTATAGTAACAACTATACGAAGACGGCTTATTGAAATTTTTGCGAACGCAGTATCTAGAGAGTCAGAAATGAAAGTAAAAGTAAAAGGAAATGGTGGTAGATAAATGAAGATAGCCGAAGTTTTTATAAGAAATATGCATATTTCTTTTAAAATGAACGAAATAGAAGAAATATCATCATGAAGATATCTATTCAAGATAAGTTGTTAATAAATTATATATGTGTTAGCGTTTCATTTAAGAATTGGAATGGAGGAAGGGAACAAAAGGGCAAAAATACACCTTCCACAAAAATAACGCTTTCAAAATGATGTTTTAATGGATTTTATTGGGAACCTTAAAGTTTATTACGTTTCCCTCGGTATTACGATATTTTCCCGTGACAAAATGAACATCGTAATAACGAGACTGCACTGTATAAACCAGACCTGAAAAATGGAACCGAAACCAAACCATACAACTTGGACTGCAGTTTTTGGTTATTTTGGGTAACCATGACAGCCCTATTGACATACCTTTCTTGATTGATTTATGATAACTTTGGTTCTGCTCCTTTGCATGGTGAAGGTTTAGTTGGCTGGTATTTAAATGACATTTCTCAAAAATTGCTGTTACGTGCGTCATATATCACCTGACAAACTTATCAATTTGCCCTGCAAAAGAACAGTACCGAAGTTATGAAATTTGTTGAAGTACTAGCTGAACGCTGTGAGAGAAGCGAGATTGAAATAAACATAATCGGTTGTATTAATTTGGAATTTCTTGATTTGTTTTTGGTCGAATACAGAAAAAAAGAAATGTTATGTTCACCTGGAAGTTTAGTAAGCAATGAAGCTTTGACCAAAACTGAAATTCATGACTAAACCAAGTATCAGTATCCTGAAATCGGCTTAATTACTCTCAGGAATTTCAAATTATACAGGGTGTTGATCAAGATATCAGAGTTGAGACTTGACATTTAAAATTTCATGGTATTCGTTCATGGCAAATGACGTGTTTATTTCATGGTATATATGAATTCAAAATTTTCAGGAATTCGTCTCTTTGTTAATTAGTAACCTAAAAAGTATTAACAAAAATTTTGTAATGATAAAATGTGCTGTCTGCTTATTATAAGTTTTCTAAGTTTACTGAATGTTATACATCATGTAATGTTTGCTGTTGTTTGTCAGAATAGGATATGAAATGCACTGTCTAAACATCCAACACTACAAAGTTGGCACCAGGGAGACAAAAAAAATTAAATTGATATTGTAGATTTTGATATATTTATGCACAAGACTGTGATTTATTGATGATATTACAAAAGCTTGTATAAAATCAAGCAGTGTGCATTCACATACATACGGATTGTAAGATGTGAATTTCTTATGATGTCAAGATACATGGGGTCATCCATGCGTAATTGGATCCATGCTACGCTCTTGAACACACCCCAGGTAAATTTTGCTCTTAAGACTGTGATTATATATGGGGATACGCAGGGTTATTAACACCGATGTTGATATATCCAACACTTTGCAAATCGTGTACATAAGATTAATACCCCCTTGTAAAAAGTAGAGGGTATATAGAGATGGGGATGCCTGTTCATCCATCTGTTACACTGCGAGGGTAGCCATCCCTTATCTGCAATTAAATCCTCTTACACTACTGAATAAAATTTAATAAGACTTTCACAGAATCTTAATTACGTAGTGCCATTATGTACATTCTATTTTTTTATATTTTGATCTGACAGATATTTGGGGTTTCCTATAGTAAAAAATGGACACTGCCATTCTTTCTATCCTCCATGTTCATGTTCTTCTTCACTCTATAACTATAAATAGTCCTGATGGACATTTCATGACTGGTGACGTGAATACAGGTAATAATGAGGACTCAGATCACTTTTCTTAAAAGAGCCAAAATTAAAAGAACCCTAATCTTTCAACTGGCATGAAAATTTCATGAATGTTAGGAATTCTCTCTATGATTACACTCAACGATGGAACAAACATGAAAAAGAAGACCTTAAAACTGTCGGAATGATTTAAAGTATCATGT